CCGCCAGAGAGGCAGTCTGGAATGCATCTCGTACTGTATTGTGCCATTGAAGGTTAATCATATCTTTTCTATAATCTAAATATCACAGTGTTTTGAATCACGTTTTGATGCATATGATGGCATTTGTCTTTGTGTTTGTTTTTCTTTATATAGGCCAGTTCAAGTGTAGAATACGATGAGATTAGATCTCTCTCTGACCATGACGGGTCTGCAATAGGATTCCATCTGTACTGCTCTAACCTTATTATTGCAAAGCCTAAGGGTCTGTATTATATCAGTGTCTGTGGCACGGCCTAAGCTCCAGATCATTGTGATCATGTGTGTGTGTGTGTGTGTTTGTGGAGGAGGGAAGGACAGAGAGTATTGCCCTCATTTTGAGTTGGCATGATTATTGTGCCATTCGTGTGAACATTTATTAGGTCAGACCAGGAGAATTAAACTGAACTGGACAGGATCAGCTTGTTTCAATGTTGACAGATTAAAAAATAGTAGTTGACCTTAAATGGGTTTATTTTTTTGTGTGTTTCTTTTATAATGTCATGTTTTGATAGATCTCTGTTTATTTATTATTATTATTATTTTTATCCTGTAAGGTATTATGAGAGGCCTCAATGTGGATCTCAAGTGAAAAACTGATTTTCATTCATGTTCAGTTTTTTTTATTGCAAAAACAGACAGTTTTACTATACAAGTTGTTACATACCATTATTTTTGTGTTTGTTCTTTTTTACAAATCAGAAAAAAAACATTTATAAAAAAAAAAGAAAAAGGAAAAAAATAATAATACAGAAAAAAGAAAAATGGAAACAAGAGTAACAAAAGTGTACAGAAAATTACAACCAACTAAATGCAGTTATTTTACAATCCCAATCAGATATTCAGATCGGTTGTCAATATTGAAAGTAAATATTTATAATTAAACAGTATACGATAATAATATTTATAAACAAATATAAAATAAATTACTAAGAATAACCAACAGAGCTCTTATCACTCACTGACCTGGGGTCTTTGATGGAAATTAATATTAGGAAAACGGAGGAGGTCATCTTAGACCCCAGGTCAGTGAGCGATAGGAGCTCTGTTGTGGTTTATAATAAAGACATTAAGCAGGTTGCTTCATATAAATATTTAGGGATGAATAATGATTGTCCCTAGAGCCAGTTTCTGTGCCCGACAATTGGGTTGTCTTGGTCCTAACCTTCGACTGTTCCGCAATGCACCGGCCCCTAACGACTCCCCCTGTAGGTGGTGGGCCCGCAGGAAGATGTTCCCATGTTGCTTCTTTGGGCTAAGCCCGACCGGGTTTCGTGGGAAAAAACCTGGCCACCAGGCACTCGCATACAAGCCCCAACCCCAGTCCTGACTCCAGCGTAGGGCCCCGGCTGCGCCATACCGGGTGACATCACGGCCCTCGATGTAATGAAGTTCATAAGGGGTTTCATCCAGGTTGGAGGAAAGTCCTTACCCCAGGTGGAGGAGTTCAAGTGTTTTGGGTTTTGGTTCAGGAATGAGGGAAGGATGGAGCGTGAGATTGACAGGCAGATCGGTGCAGCGGCAGCAGTAATGTAATCTCTCACCCATAATCTCTCACCCGGGATGAGCTCGGAGTAGAGCCGCTGCTCCTCCACATCGAAAGTCAGCTGAGGTGGCTCGGACATCTGTTTCAGATACTTCCTGGACACCTTCCTAGGGAGGTATTCCAGGCATGTCCCACCAGGAGCACTTATGCACTATGCACTTATGTACTTACACATTCAACTGCGTATGTAGTGTCATCCCAAATGGAGCACTAATGGGTTTTTTTACTAGGCGAAAATTCAAACTGTTTCCCTGATGTAGTTTGACAGTTGCCAAATCAGTAAAATAAATGAACAAACTACCAAATAATACCTGCCTTGAGTATAACTGCATTCACCATCAGGAGGCGCTACAATTACTCTCATAGGAGAATTTTGCTTTTACCATAAAAAATAAATAAAAGTTATCCAACATGTGTGCCCGATAGCTCCGCCCTTTTACATGAGCAAACCTGCGGTTGTTACAGAGTGCGTGAAGTGTCCGTCATTACACACTTCATTTTACCGGCTGAATGAGAGCATCATCTGGGTAATTAAAGCACACTTAGTATTTTTAGAGTTTTTAGTGTGAACGCACTACTTACACTCTTTATACTACAAAATGGCCTAGAATAGGGCATGCGTATGCGATTTGGGATTCAGTTTAAGATTATTCGTAGTGAGTAGCAGCATAATGCTAACTTTTTTATAAAGCAACAATAAGAGTCTATTTTAAGGTATGGAATTATTGTTTGGTTTGTAAATCTGACAGTAAAAAAGAGAACCCAAGTAAATAACCTGATGAGTGTGGCAGGACAAATTATGGGAATGGAGACACTTGGTTCGCTAAAAGGTATCTTTGAGTTGTGCACAATTGAAGCCAACAAGATTTTATTTGATATTGTTTGATTCTTTGCATGTGCTGTCTTTAGAGTATGAGTTGATAAATTCTGGCAGAAGATACAGGATCTTGTTATGCAAGTATAGATTTAAACATTCTTTTGTTCCCTTTTCAAATAAACTGATCAATGAGCAAGTAGGATAGAGAGCAGTGGGGGCTTGTATTTTTTATTTATTTTTTAAGGATTGTTTTTATGGAACCGTATTTACATGTATATTAGGAGGTATTTTAAGATCAGATTTTTGTGTTTGTATTTTATATGTTGTCTTGTTGATGTATGTGTACAGCAGATAATCAATTTTACCTTGACCTTGAAAACATTGCCCGTTAAAAAAAAAAATATAATAATCCCAAAGCATATACCCTTTTCCAACTTTAGAAAATACATGGTATCCACAAGCCATTGGGATGTAGTTGGAGGCTTATTTGATTTCCAGTGAAGTAGAAAACAGCACCTAGCTGATAATGAAGTAAAAGCTAAAATATCATGTTCAAAATTAAACTGGGACCAAATCTTTTGAACACCAAAAATGGCTATATCAGGGGATGGGTCTATATTTATCTGAAACACCTTAGACATATTTGTAAAATAAATAATCCAGTAATCCTGTAACATAGGGCACATAAACTTCAATTCGGAAATCTGGACTTTACTACAATGTCTGTTAAGCTGCTTTGACACAATCTTGATTGTAAAAGAGCTATAGAAATAAACATGAATTTAATTGAATTGAATCAAAAACATATGACTTAAATTCTGATTTCCATTTATACCTGGTGTTGCTAGTGTTGCAATTTTGTTTAGTCTTTTTTCAATATAATACTCCAACAGATTTGTAATACTGTACACACACTAATAATAAAAAAATTAAATAATAATAATAATAATAATAATAAAATTACCAGATCGATTAAACACACTTTATGAATAGGCTACTTAATGCATTGTGCAATATAAATAAAATATATTTTTCTGTCCAGTTCCAGTTTTTTCCAGTGAGATCTCGAATTTATATTCAGAACACAGAATTTACATTGTTTTAACATGTATATTTATGGCTTTATTAAGTTAAAAGTTTAACAAACTTTTTAAAACATCAAAAATCTTTTTATAAAATAAATATGCAAAGGATAAATTTATCATATGAAAAGGCAGCTCATGCAACATCATCCAAAGCTTTAGAGGCTGAAATCTCATTTCTGTATGTTTCTTTGCATAGAATAAAATGATCAGCACATTATTAACGTTCTCCTTCAAATAAAACATTCACAATACTGAATATTTGGTTTTAAATCTGCAAAGGGTGTGGCCGAAAGTGGACAAGCTCAAAAATTTTCACACCCTGTTCACACCTGTACTTACAGAGTTGTCCACTTTAATCAGATCAGTAAAAACACGTCAAGTGTTTTATATTCACTTGCATTCAGACAAAAACAAAGAAAAGCATTAAACCAAACAAACACAAATTTTAGTGACATTTACTGTAAATACTTTTGATAAAAGTCAACTCTAAACAAATTTATTGAAACTAGCACCATGTGGAAAATGTGCTATGCAAATACTTGCGTGTCACTATCATGCAGCACACAACCAAAGTTATGTCCAATGTGTACATGTTTTCTTTGTGTAATATGAATGGCATTAAACAGTCATAAGTCGCTTTGTAAATTATCCTGTTCCAGATCATAAAAAAACTATTTGTATTCAGAAAAATATTATCTATTATTATATTATGTTATGTATAAGTTATTGAATAAGTGTTAATCTTATAATAATACAAAATTAATATATATTTATATATTATAATATAATGTAGTATAATATAATATAATGTAATATAATATAATATAATATAATATAATATAATATAATATAATATGATATAATATGAAATAATATGAAATAATATAATATAATATAATATGAAATAATATAATATAATATAATATAATATAATATACGGTAATATAATATAATATAAAATAATTTAATTTAATTTAATTTAATTTAATTTAATTTAATATAAAATAATATAATATAATATGAAATAAATAAATATAATATAATAAATATAATAGAATAGAATACAATAAATATAATATAATATAATATAATATAATATAATATAATATAATATAATATAATATAATATAATATAATAAAAATAATATAATATAATATAATATGAAATAAATATAATATAATATAATATAATATAATATAATATAATATAATAAATATAATATAATAGAATAGAATAAATATAATAAATATATATATATAATATAATATCATATAATATCATATAATATAATTTAATTTAATTTAATTTAATTTAATTTAATATAATATAAAATAATATAATATAATATGAAATTAATATAATATAATAGAATAGAATAAATATAATATAATATAATATAATATAATATAATATAATATAATATAATATAATATAATATAATATAATATAATATAATTGCTGTACTTTTTTTCCCCCCTCTACACAATTGTCTTATGTATTTTCTCTTTCCAAAAGGCACTGGAGATATAGTTGCAGTAATGATCACAGAGTCTTTCGGAAAGGAAATTCTGGGATTCCTGGAGAAAAACCAGACCGTGCTGGTGTCCGTGATCGTGGGTTCAAGAGGGATGCCCAAAAACATCAACCGCGGCTCCTTGGTGTTCGTCTCCATCTCCTTTATCGTCCTGATGATTATCTCCTCTGCTTGGCTCATTTTCTACTTTATCCAGAAGATCAGAGACACCAGCGCACGCGACCGCAGTCAGGTCTGACAACACACACACATTCCTCTGTAGTTTAAAACACACACTCACGCTTGTATCTAAAAACCTTGTCAGAATTTTTCTTTCGCAGGCCTCCCTGTTATTTCACAGGCTTATCTGACCTTCAAGAACTTCCTGTGAGCTCAAAGATAGTAGTAAATGGCCCAGCATTCCCAACTCATGAAATCTTAATGCAGAAGCGTGTGTGTGGTGACACTCTGCCGCTTCAGCGTCTGCTTCCACACAAACACACACACACACACACAGACCTCATTTCTCCACTGTAGTATTGATGTCTCTTGGCCCTTCCGCTTTTACCAGGCCTCTGAATTTACTGCAGAGATTAACAGGCTATAATCAGGCTGTATTAACAACCAACGCTATTCATTTTTTATGAAGGCGAAATGTGTAAAGTCTGAAGCACTTTTTCATTAGATAGATTGGAAATAATAAACACATTTACAATATATGCACTGAGACCTGTAAACATTGCATATTGCGATTTTAATGCGATGGAAGATTCCATTTAAAGTGTGCATTAAGAGAGTGCATTAAACTGATTATTCTTGATAACCTGACAATGAGGAAGATTACTGAAACTGCATTTTTATCGGAGAAAAGGCTATGATGCATTTTACACTCATATACTTTTGATCAACACCTAATTACTGCTTAATCAGTGTGTTCAGTGTAAATGTTATGATGTCCTAACCAGGGGTGCGTTTCCCAAAACCATCGTTCGCCAACTAAGGTCGCAAGTTACGTCATCACAAGCATAGTTTGTTGTTTTCCCCCATCCACACTGACATGGAGCAGCAGCATTTTAAAACCAAAACGGCCTCACCAGCATTTAAAAAAAAAATCTGTTTTCAAGGCTGGAAAATCGGGTAGTGTGGATGGAAGGATTAACTGTAGCAAAACGTATGCGTTTTAAAACGTAAAACGTATTAGTGTAAACGGGTCCTAAATAGTGAGAAATAGTTTCCTCTGATCTGTATCGTAAAAATATATATATATTAAAAATGAAAACAGATTTATAATATACATAAATATACAGTTGACCACCCCTATAAGGGTTCATACCATTGTGAATGCACAATCAGTTTATGTGAGAATAAATTAATTATTAATTAGATGAGAGCACTGATAGACTATGTAAGTGTGAGTGTTCACAAAACACTTTTTTGCTTAAAAAATAGCAGTTTGTTTCTACATTTTTCCAAAATGTAAAGTCAAATTAGATGCATAGTCATTTTTTTTAGTTTGAAAAAGTTGAAAAGGTGACCCCGCTGATCGTTAATGTGTAATTCGCACCCTGGGTATATATCATTACCGAAGCATGAAATATAACACTTTGCAAGACTTTACTATAAGGTTGTAGTTAATGCAGTTACTAACATAAACAAACAATGAACATACATTTGTTACAGTTATTTAATGTTAGTTAATGAAAATACGGTTGTTCATTTTTAGTTCATGTTAATTCACGGTGCATTAACAAATGTTGAAAAGTATGAATTTGACAGTTAATGATGCATTTTTGTAAGTGTTAAACTATGATTAATAAAAACTTTTGTTTATGCAAGTAAATACATTAACTAATGAAACCTTATTGTAAAGTGTGACCAAAATCTTAATTTTATTTTGTGTATACAACGTAATGTAAATAAGTGGGCGTGGCCAACTCACATACAGCATGAGTGAGGCTGAGAAAGACATTATTGAGACTATCAGCAGTTTTGCCAATTGCTATTTTTCAACAAGAAGTGGTAACTTAGTATATTTTTTATACTAGAATTGTAATTGTTCGACAAAGCAGTTTGATAGTTCTTTAAAGTGTTTGCATACTTATATTTTTATTTCAAGTTTTTTTCCAGTAACCTACTTGGCATATGTTTAATATATGTGAGAAGATTGACAAATGTTTAAAGTAATTAGGTCTGTCCACATAAAACTGTGAAGTGTGACATACAGTGTCATTTGTAATCTAAAGTCATATTTTAACTACAATGTTTATAAGGTTCAAAATAAAATATAAATCAATTAAATAAGATCTTTAAATAAAGTCATTTTCTTTTTTTAAACATTCAAGTTTATATAAAGCCCTTTTGTACAGTTTCTGGAATAACTACCTTTATTAAAATCTTTATCATGCAAGATCTTGTTACCATGAAATAAACTTCCTCATACCATGAAAAACAATTTTGGTCATACTTCCCAGCCCTACACATGACTGTCTGTGTTTCTTGTAAAACAAGTTTGCTTTAATCTTTTCGATCTTTAATCTTTTGCTTTATTTTGTTTATATTTGTTTAAAAGACTTGAATGCTTTTATTCAGTAAAAATGTAACAAATATACCAAAAGCGACATAAGTTTGTAACGTTACAGAAAATTTTATTTATTTATTTATTTATTTATTTTTGTTTATTTTTTGTTTATTTTTATTTTAAAATTTTATTTATTTATTTGTTTGTTTGTGTGCTTCATTATAATCATTTAAATCATTTTATCTTTTAATCCAAAAAATGTTTATTATTATTATTATTATTAATTTATTTATTTTACTTTTTTATTTATTTAGTTTGTTTGTTTGTATGTATGTTTGTTAGCTTTTTGATATTCACTTTCTTTTAATCCAATAAAAAAATCATGGTAGCATGCCATGTCAAAAGAAATAAATGCCTCATAAATACCATACAAATCAAATCATACCAAATACCGAATGTGATTTTTCTAAAGGATCACAGGACAATTGAATATTGGCTGTTAAAAGTTTCTGGAATAAATGAAATGTTATCCATTTTATTTATGCTTACATATATGTTAAAATATTACTTGTGTGATTATGTAATAATGTGATAATGTGATTTTCAATGACATTACAGTCGTGCTGTATTTTTAATCAAATAAATTCAGCCTTGGTGACTTCTTGGTGACATTTACACACACAGTCACACACACACACACACACACACACTGTGCCCATTGACTTTTTTTATCTCTAATTAAGCTAATTATAATTACACGCTGACCCTAATACCTTTGGTGTTTTTTAGATGTTAATTAAAACATAATTTGGCCATTTTATGACCTATACCGTCCTCACAAGTTAGTTTTCAGAGGAGTCTATTTGTGTCTATATTTGTCAGACGTTCTGAGACCATCACAAATAAAGCCAACACAGTTTAGCACAAATCCTTTGGCCCTGCTTGGCTTTTTCTGTAAACTGTCGGCAGTAAATCTCGGAGCTGTTTATTTAGCAATAAACTGGCCGAATGAAGAGCGAGGACATCTCAGAACAAACACTCATAAACACACACACACAATGAACCGCCCATCACAGACTGCACTTAGCGTCTTTTATTTATAGCCCTCTCCGTCAGGCCTTTCACTAACTCTGTCTCATTTGCTGTATACAATCCTGATAGACAACCTGGTATGTTGCTTTTATCACAATTAATACCTCTAATGCATCCTCCCATGTTTTATTTCTCAGCCCTAGCTTGTTTAATAAAATCTGAGTTGTATTTTTTTTTACTGGTTAGAGTCTTTTACTTCCCCAACTTTCTTTTTAATTTCCTGTTTCATTAAATCAAGCTGTGATTGTGAAATTATGTGAATTACTCTCTCCTCTTGTCCTTTGTTTCTATAGCGACGGCTGGGAGATGCTGCCAAGAAGGCCATTAGCAAGCTGACTACCAGGACAGTAAAACGAGGGGACAAGGTGAGGTCTTTTGACGTCATCTCTTGTTTACTTTTCTCTCTATCCATCTCTGCCAGGCTATAGTTAGCAGCACTGTTTCTTATTATGGAGCTGTTTGTGTTATTCTCCATTCATAATGCATCTCTGTGCTTCATGACAGACTCTGGACACGTACACGTTGCTGCTAAATATGGTTGTCACTCTTTGTCCCAGTGTACGAAGGGGTCTTAATTGTTTACAGCTGTATTCTGTAAACTGATTTAACTCTTGTAAATTACAAGTAGCAATAACTGCATTTACATGAATTACAACTTTAGGAGTAACCCATGCATTACGGTCCACAGTGCATGCTTTTTAAAAGCAGACACCTAAATGTCGTAAACAAAACTTGGTGCCTTTGGAAATTGCTAGATGATGATGATGATGATGATACAGTGCTCAGCGTAAATGAGTACACCCCTCGCAGATCTCTCTTTTACTTGAATGTTTTCAACAGGATGCTTTACAATAATATGTTTTTGCATAGACCTGTGCTTTACATTACCTGACAAAAGTCTTGTCATCGATCAGTTGTAAGAGCAACAAATAATAACTTGACTTGTTCGTTGATCATTTGGAAAGGTGGCAGAAGGTAGATTTTTTTCAATGAATCATTTTAAATACTGCTGAAGACCTACTAGAACCCAAAGAAGATCAAGGTGCTCCAGGATTGGCCTGCCCAGTCATCAGATATGAGCATGTCATTATTGAGCATGTCTGAGTAATGATGAAGGAGGAGGCATTAAAGAGGAATCCAAATAATCTTGATAAATTCTGGGAGTCCTGCAAGAGTGTTTTTTTGCCATTCCATGTGACTTTATTGATACTGTAGGTATTTGAGTCATTGCAGAGATGTATGGATGCAGTTGTCTAAGCTCATGGGAGTCATACACAATATTAATTCTTGTTCTACTGCACCATGACTTTATATTCTATACTGTTCATCATTTCAGTTAGGTGACAAGACTTTTGTCTAAGCAAAGTCAGATCTTCTGTCCTAATTAAATAATTAAAAATCAAGACATGATCATATTTTATTTGGTAAGTAAACATAATCTAGAGGACTTTGCCTTTCATATTAGCCATACAAATGATCAAATAGAAGTTATTATTTGTTGTTCCTAAAACTTGGATATGCGCCAAGAGTTTTGTCAGGTAGTTTATATTGATCAGTACCAAAGCCAAAACTGAAAGTAATCTAACAAAAAAAGTGTTTACTTTAAATACACCAAAATAGATTGTCTATATTTAATGAGAAATTGATAAAAGTGTCACTTTGCAACACTAGAGATTACATCTATATATTTTTTTATTCATTGAGTATATATAAAAGCATACATGATTCAATTTTAAATTAGTTTTTGACCTAGATATGTGTCATAGACTATGCATCATTACTTTCATTATAATATAATGCGTACTAAGGACTAGATTTACTCAACAGGGTTAATTAGCTTTCTGCGATCTTGAATAAACACCAGTGATTATTCTAGTTTCAGTTCTGCAGGTTTTCTACAGATTATATGTACCAATAATGATACCAATTAACAAGAACTGTTAATTGATTCAAAGCTTCACCTTTAAATTATATGCTGATAAAATAATTGCATACCGTATATTGTGAGTGATAGTTTCATTCGTGTTCTTGTACTGTCCCATTATTTATTAACATTTTCAGCTGTTTTTTTTTTTTTTATATTTTCAGTTTTGGTTTTAATTTAAGTTTAAGTAATTAGTTGTAGGGCTGTGTGATTTAGGCAAAATATCTAATTGCGTTTTTTTTGTTGTTGTTGTTGTTTTAGACAGATATTGCGGTTTCGATTTCGCTTTAATTTGCAGTTACATTTTTTTGTTAAGCTTCAGCTCGATCACACTCCTCATATAGCCACCTCTGGTGCTTTTTTAGGTGCTGGTAGTTGTATTTCCTCATGCTGTGGCAACAATTCTGTGACATCTATTACAAATGACCTGTTTTTGTTTTGTTGTCTCTGACCATATTACCGACATGCTGTTTTTCTTTGATATTATCTAGTCTATTTAATGGTTTTGAAGCAGGAGACCTCATCATCCCACTTGTCAGTGCTTTTCTGCTTGTTTTTTTTGTTTTTTTTTCCAATTACACTATTCTAATTGGGCAGAACGAAAAGTGTGCTCACTCAATTGGCTTGTAAGATGCCAGTCATGCATTTGCTCTGGGCAGGAGAAATGAAAAAATATAAATTCCTATTGTAGCCTCTTCCGATTAGCTAATCGCAACGTTTTTGTACTTTTTGATTTAGGTTGACAGGTTGACAGTGCCAGTCACTAAAAACAGATAAAATAATGAACAAGCAGCTAATTTCTATAATGACTACCATTCTAACACAGCACGAATTTGTGTAGGGTCACAAAAAAGCAGATGTTTGGGTGGTGTCTTCTTGTGGTTTTCCAAATAAGAAATGTACAAAATGATTTTCCTTCTACCACACACTTTCTGTTCTGTTTTCCTCTTGCTAACAGCAAAATGTCAAGCACAAAGTAGGTTAAGACCCTTTTGTGTGTTAAACAATGGTGCAAATACCAGTACATTTAACCACAAATCTTTAAAAATAAAATCATATTGCATGATTCATTTAAATACTCTCCACCCATGCTCATTTGTGTCTGAACAAATGCATTTGCAATGAGGTCAGACACACCTTTTCATTGCAAATGATTTCCTCTGTGGGATTTTAGTAAACACAAACACTAAAATAGAGTTTGTGTTTCAATGTTGATGCAAGCAGTTTGTAAATTTGACCATAAATCTTTGGCCTTTTATATTTATGAACATGGTCTTAATTTAATCAATAATTGGCTGTTAAATATTGATGGCAGTCCAGTAAGGTTCATATCTAGAAGTCATCTTACTGAATGTTCCACAAAGTCCAAAGAAAGACATTGACCTGTGTAAAGGTGAATGACTGTCAGGTGAGCGATGAGGACGGGCTTCACAGCTGTTGGGTTTGGGGAAGGGGTGGAGCCGTGCCAGTCACTGCCTGCGTATCACAGCCCAGTCAAGGTCAGCTCACATCATCAGCCATGAATAAAACATCAGTGGCCTTGGAGAAGTGCTGCAAGAAATTGAAACCTTTCATCTGAGAGGTCATGCTCGTTAGAGATTGAGTGAGAGAACATCTGTCTGTGTTCCTTTACCTCTCTATCTTCATGGTCAGACCTATCGTTGATGGTACAAGTGCTCAACATGTATCCCTTTGGATATTTGAACAAGCCCTGTGTGGGATTATTGGGATCTGCACCTCTAACTTCTCAGAATGATGCTCAATGCCACTGATAAACCAGTCGTCTTCTGCTTGGTCATCACTTAGTCGTCACTTCAGTGTATATTCCTGATTGGAATGCAGCTCTACCTACCAATTATATTGGCAAGAAAACAACTTGTCACCCAACCAAGTCTGGTTTCTCATAAGGTTTTTCCTTAAAGTACCAATAGGCGCTAGTTTGAAGGATTTTGGATAAATACAGCATTGACTTCCATGGAAGTTTTTTGTTCCTTCTATAGTATGGATGTGAGTGGCTGATTTCTGACATTCTCCAAGATCCATTCTTTTACGTTCAACAGAAGAAAGACATTTATAAATGTTTAGAATCACTTGAGTGTGAGGAATGGTAAGGAAATTTTATCTTTGAGATTAAATTTTCCTTTATTTTCAGTCAGTTGGTGAAGTGTTGTATCCTTGCCACTTGCGGTGTTTCTATCTTGAGGTCAATCCAATCTTTTTAGATTTTGGCAGGAAAAAAAAAGCAAATTAGGTGCATTTTCTTCAAGTGTTTTAAGAACTTATTGGTGGTATTAGTAATCCTAGTGAACGTGGAACCACACACAATGTCATAAGATGTGTAATATTAGGTTAGATTTAGGTCACCAGTGTTTAAGAACAACATTATTTTGACGTCCAAAATTATGTGAAATGACGTTGATATTTGGTTGGGTTTGTGTTTGAAAGTGACCAGAATCCAACATCAAGTCAACATTGTAAAGCAACGTCATATTAATGTCAAATACTGACATTTATTTGTCAAGCATGGCAACCAAAATCCAATGTCTGATAGATGTCATATTGGTAACGTCCACACAACCTCAAGCTGTAACTTTATTAGACGTTGATATTTTGTTGTTTTTAGATTGTGTTGGAAAGTAACCAAAATGGAACGTCTGTCTGATGTTGGACATTGATGTCGGCCTGACGCTGGGTTCTGACGTCAATCTGATTTTCTTTCCAAACAAAATGCAACATCCCACATTGTGTGGGGCACAATGTCAATCTGACATTATGTTGACGTCATGTACCTGCTGGCCTGCAAGACACCATCAGTGGAAACAGCTGATTAGTTAAGTTTGTGTAATGTTGGTTATGTCAGGTTTTGTCTGCAAATGCATTTCCATCTACAGTTATTTGCATTACCTAAAAAAAACATCAAGTGAGCATGAAACGCTTTTCATCACTTGTTTTTGATTAATCTTTTTCTATCCATTTTTATTTCTATAGCGCTTTTACAATGTAGATTGTGTCAAAGCAGCTTAGCATAGAAACTCTAGTAACATTAAACTGTCAGTCTAGTTTTCAGAGTTCAATGCGCAGCTCAACAAGTCCCAAACCAAGCAAGCCAGTTGTGACAGTGGCAAGCAACAAAAATTCATCAATTGACGAAAGTAAAGAAAAAAACCTTGAGAGAAACCAGGCTCAGTTAGACACAATCATTTCTCGGAGTCTGGAGATTGCTGGACATCCATCGTGGAAGCTGTAGGTGTAAGTAGGTCACTGGTGTTCAGGCTGGCCCATGGGATCAATGCGGAAACTTGTCTGTCAGTGGGGTCTTTCACGAATCAGTCTCATGCTCTCCACTCCTCCATGACCACCACAGTTTCTGCTCAGGATACAGCCTGGTTCAGGATTATGGAGACCTCAAGATAAGGAAAACAGACTGTGTGTAGATGCCGTTCATATTATAGTGTTTTTTGGGAAGTGTTCCCATCTCTGTTTGCCCTAATTAATGAAGCCTAACAATCCTTTAGAGGATTTCAACATCATTTGTGTTCCAATCTAGTGTCTTTAGTCTTGTTTTAAACTGACAGAGTGTATCTGCCTCTTGAACTGTGCTAGGAAGACTGTTCCAGAGTTTAGATGACAGATATGAGAAAGATCTACTGCCTGCAGTTGATTTTCATATTGTGGGATTAATCAATTGTACGGAATGAATTGAGCATAGTAGACATGAGGGGCTGTTATACACCAAGAGCTTCCTCAAATACTGGGGAGCTAAGCCTTTCAGGGCTTAAGGTAGTCAATAAAATGTAAACATTTTTTACAATGTTTAACTTGTTTCTGATCTGATACTTCAAAATATGCACTTAAACTAGGTGATGAAAACAACTCTTGTCACCTTTGATTTGCTTAGCTGTGGTCAACAAAGCTATGTCTGTTACAAAGTACTAAATTGAATCATCAGTGAAGTAACTACAAATAAAACTGCATTCTGTGGAACTGAATATGTCCAATTTACTGAACTTGCTTCACACAGTTGAAACTTCATACCTGATTTTCGATTATTGCCCGTTTTCTTTGAAAAGATGCTTTGGTATAATTTTACATTGTTTAAAACTAATAAAAATATGTCAGACTATTACTTTTTCCTTCTAAAGCAATCACCTACACATCTTCGATCAGTTATAACTTGTTTTTTCAGCAAAGAAGCATCTTTACGGCTTTACTGCTTTGGCCTGTGGGTATCAGCCTCGTCCCTCTGCAGGGACCACAGTCGATGACTCTCGCTCTGAGAGGGGCCCATTAGAAACCAAACACCACTCACCACAACATGACCTTGACCATGCAGACTCGACAGGACACTGTCAGGTGACGGAAATAGCATCTAAAGTAGAGAAGGTGCTTCCAGGAAGAACAGGGCAGAGTGTGATATAAAACCTGCAAGGTTTTTTGTCACTTTCTAAATGGCTCCTCACCCACGGAGGTCTAGTTAGCTGCCTGAGTGATGCGTCGCCTGCTACTAGAGGTATATTTATCATACAGTATATAAATAGTATGTATAAAAAGTACTGCTGGTAGGTTTATCACGTAACACCAAATCTAATTGGAAACTGTGGTTACACGTTTTATTTTTTCATGTGAGAGCACTTCCAGCGTCATAGATATCAAGTTATTATTACATTATATAATGTTATGTTGCTTACAATTACAAACTAGTGTTTTTTTTTACTGTTGGATTTTTAAAAATTGATTGTCTTTATTAATAACATGCTAGTTTTCATTAATAGTATTTTAGTTCCCTATAGTAGAAATCAATAGGAATATTGAAAGGAACATTTTTTATATATAATTTGTTTTATAATTATTATAGTTCACTTAAGCAGTTTTTTTTTTCATTTGGTTTTTCAATCAATTAACTAAAGCTGTTAATTTATTTAAAATGGAAAAAAAAATGTTTTAATGTTTTGCTGATGAAGTTACAATTCAAGTCTGTTTTTTTATTATATATATATATATATATATATATATATATATATATATATATATATATATATATATATATATATATATATATATATATATATATATATATAATTCACTGTCCACTTTATTAGGTACAGTTTACTAATTCTGACCCTACCATCTAAATGTCACAGTAGAAATCGAGACTGTTTAGATCCGGCAGCATTTTTCCAATCTTCTATTGTCCAATTTTGGTAAGCCAGTGTGATTTGTAGCCTCAGTTTACTGTTTTTAGCTGACAGGAGTGGCACCCAGTGTGGTCTTCTGCTGCTGTAGCCCATCCGCCTCAAGGTTGGACGTGTTGTGCGTTCAGAGTTGCTCTTCTGCATACCTCAGTTGTAACGAGTGGTTATTTAAGTTACTGCTGCCTTTATATCGGCTCAAACCAGTATGCCCATTCTCCTCTGACCTCTGGTATCAACAAGGCACTTGCACCCATAGAACTGCTGCTCACTGAATATTTTCTCTTTTTCCGACCATTCTCTGTAAACCTTTGAGATAGTTGTGCGTGAAAATCCCAGTAGATTAGCAGTTTCTGAAATATTCAGACCAGCCTGTCTGGCACCAACGACCATGCTGCGTTCACAGTCACTTAAATTACCTTTCTTTCCCATTTTAATGTTTGGTTTGAACTGCAGCAGATCGCCTTGACCATGTCTACATGCCTAAATGCATTAAGTTGCTGCCATGTGATTGGCTGATTAGAAATTTGCATTAACAATTAGTTGGACAGGTGTACCTAATAAAGTGGCCGGTGAGTGTATATTGATTTACAGTTAATTAATATTTTGTTTTACAGTTTATCAATATTTTGTATGAGCTTTTATTTCTATATTTTCATTCAGTTTTATTTATTTAATTGCTTATTAGTTAAAAAAAGCTTGATAATCACTAGTAACTTCTACAAGCAGGCAATGTTTCCTAGGGGGTGTCAAGAATGGCTTCACGCTGACCTCATGGGTCATTCAAATGACATGGGCTGAAAGCAGAGCCAGAGAAATACAGCATCTTTGACACTTCGTATCCACTAAATCTGCCGAACGATCGCTCTCTCTGCTCAGCCACCCTGAAATAACTAGATAGAGACACTGTTACTTCAGCAGCTTTTTGCCTGGCAGTTGACATGAATTTCTTGAACTGCACTGATGGAATGTTTGAATGTTTTCTCCATGGGGTCTGTGAGCATTTGGAATTATTTGACACAAAATACACTTGGAATGGTCAGAATGACATGCAGTCATCTAATAATAGGAATGATGTATTCATTATGTGTACAATGCAAAGTATGGACATGTTCGCATTGAAACCCCAGATGACCTATTTCATTTGCAGAAATGTGACACGCAACCACTTCGTTCCACAATGATTGTATGTATAGACCCTATTTATTACTAAAAGCCCAACCAACCCACAAACCAGGCAGGAAAATGTGTAATATTATAAATATTTTGTATAATTTTGTTTTGACATACTGTATTTATATGCTATTACTTTGACTTTTTCTCACCCATCTTTAAAAAAATACACTGTTTATACAGTGAGGCTTGCGATTTGTTTTCAGTTTGTAGATGTAGGGCATATTACTCCATTTTATTTATGTCACTACTTTAAATAGCATACAGGTATTCACTTGTCACAGGAGCTGTGTGTTTAAAATAACATGCTAGCTGAAATAGCTTACTGTATAATGGAAAGTCCACTATGCACAATATGCTCCTATGCAATTGATTTTTAAGTAAAAAAAAATTGTAAAAAAAAGTGTATTGTTAAAGTATTAACAATGTGCATTATGCCATGCTAGACATTTCATTTGATTGTATCCTACATTATGTGAATTATGTAACATGATATGCATGCCTGGCTCAACCAGTCATTGTTTCGTATATACATACAGGTTTATTCACAATATATTTTGCTGTTTTAACTATAAAGGTCATTTCAGTCTTGCGTATTTGAAGAAGCTCGCTTCACTTTCCCATCAACTGTATGAGTGTTTTATCTGAAGCTCAAATGGTGCACTTTAGAGTAGTTGGGCGACATGAATGCAAGGAGGAGGTCAAGAGGTCAGATCAATATATAGCGAATGCAGGTACTCAGAGAGTATTGGCAGGAGTTTAAAGAGAATTTCACACCTGCGTTATTCTCATTTCTCACAGATCTGTGTTGTAAGGCCAGCATACATATTTAATAATAATGGACCAGTGATGCTGAAATCAAGATACAGTGTAAGAGAGGATCCAAATGTCCTAGAGAGAGTTAAATTAAAAGTGATTTTGTGTTATATTTATTTTTTTCCGATTGTAATTGCATTAATTATGAAATGTAAAAAAAAAAATATATATATATATATATATATATATATATATATATATATTGAAGTCATATTGAATGGAGGGAAACTGATTTTTTTATTTTGTTTTGTTATTATTTTTTTACATTTTATTTTTGTTTTTATTTTTTATTAAATATTATTATTATTATTATTATTATATTTTATTTATGTATTTATTTACAATTTTTGTAATTTAATGACATTTTATTTTGTTATTATTTTTTATTTTTTTAATTTAATTTATTATTATTATTATTATTAATATTATCATTTATGTGTTTATTTTAATTTTTGTAATTTAATGTAATTTTAATCAAATTTTATTTTATTATTTTGTAATTTTAGTTTTTACATTTAATTTTTTTTATTTTATTTTATTTTATTTTAATTCATTTGATGATTTTAGCAGAGCCCATCCAACAAATGATGAGCAGCAGGATTTTGACATAATCAGTTGCTGTTTTGAGTAGCATTGCACAAAAATGCAGCTGTGCTTCACTTTTTTTGTACAAATGATGATTTGTTTAGATTGTGTGCAATGGTCATTTATTGCATTTTAGCATCTGTTAAAATTGCCTGGTTTGCTTGCTCCTGCTGTGTGACATTGTGCTGTTCTTATTTGACTGGCAAATACTGTAGCACTAAATCTGGCCTAATGATTCCTTATGCTGCTTCTAATGTTGACACTTTCACTTTTTAGCTACATTTTGACTCATAAATAAAGGCTTATGTTTATATCTTGTCTTGTACATGTTTTGCAGGAAACAGAGCCAGATTTTAATCATTGTGCGGTGTGTATTGAAGGTTATCAGCTAAATGATGTGGTCCGCATCCTCCCTTGCAAGTAAGTGCACATGTGTGTCTGCAAATGTTTTTTTTTTTTTATTTAAATAGTCTATTTTTTACTTTCTATTATTTTTAATCTATCTATCTATCTATCTATCTATCTATCTATCTATCTATCTATCTATCTATCTATCTATCTATCTATCTATCTATCTATCTGTCTGTCTGTCTGTCTGTCTGTCTGTCTGTCTGTCTGTCTGTCTGTCTGTCTGTCTGTCTGTCTGTCTGTCTGTCTGTCTGTCTGTCTGTCTGTCTGTCTGTCTGTCTTTTATAAATGTATAAATAATATTATTAAATGACATTTGGGAGAAATTATCAGACCTTTATAAAAAAAAATATGAACCTCACATAAGTATTAAATTACTTAAACACATATCTATTAAATAAAGTACATCCAGGCAAACAACATAATAGTAATAACAGTAGTATTTTATATTCGTAATAATTCATTTTAAAATAAAATAAATATTAAAAATAAAAAAATAAATATAATAAGTAAATGCTGATGTGATTTTGCAGTAAACTCTTCCTTTAAAATCATATTATTATGTATACGGATCTATTCAATTCAATCCATGTTTATTTATATGCTTCTTTTTACAGTATAGATTGTGTCAAAGTAGCTTAACATAGTTCTAGTAAAGTCCAGATTTCAGAGTTGAAGTTCAGTTTTGTTTAGTTAAGTGTGGTTTAAATTTCACTGCTGAAAGTTTTAACACTGGAGCAAATCCACCAAAGCGCAGCTTCAAAAGTCCTAATCCGAGCAAGTCAGTGTGTATGTATATATATTAAAGGTATACAGTACTTACAGAATATATACCGTTAACTGAATAACTTTATAACTGTGTAACCACATCAGTGGATTGTACAAAAGACCTTTTCTACAAACAAATCCAATTGTTTTTGGCTGCTTGCACCACTTGCTTAATGTCAGGTGACTTACTCGCTGTGCAGTTTTATTGAGCTGTATTGAACAGATGCCGTGAATCACGTCAGTTTTAACAAACGTATAAATATGTATATATATGTATATATATATATATATATATATATATATATATATATATATATGTATATATATATATATATATATATATATATATATATATATATAATTTATAATGAGTGTAAACCACATATTATTTATTAGCCATGTTGTGTGGTATTTATGACCTGGATGTGTAGCCAATAAACAATGCCTAAACATTAAAAATGTGCTTTTAGAAACTTAATAAAAAATTTTAAAACCCGTTTTAAGGTCAAAATTATTAGCCCCATTTAAGCTATTTTTTCGATAGTCTACAGAGCAAACCATCATTATACAATAACTTGCCTAATTACCCTAACCTGCCAAGTTAACTTAGTTAACCTAGTTAAGCATTTAAATATGACTTAAAGCTGTACAGAAGTGTCTTAAAAGTATCTAATAAAATATTATTTACTGTCATTATGGCAAAGATAAAATACATTTTCAAGGCACTAGTATTCAGCTTAAAGTGACATTAAAAGGCTTAATTACATTGGTTAGGTTAACTAGATGAGTAAGGGTATACCTATAGTTAGGTAAGTTTTTGTGTCACAATGGGTTGTTCTATAGACTATGGAAAAAATAAAACATTGCTTAAGGGGGCTAATAATATTGACCTTAAAATGTCATTAAAAAATTAAAAGAATTAAAAAAAGAAATAAAAGAAAAAAGAAATAAGTTCACAGGAGGGTGAATACTTTTCTTCAACTGTATACTGTATATATACTGTATGGTCATAATGATGAAGATTTCTGTCTTATTTTGTCATCTGTCTAAATCATTTTTCATCAGCCAGTGCAATTTGGTTTTCACCCCAGACTTTAAATAATTGTGAAATGACATTCGGAGAGAAAAGGAGATCAGGGGTCACTTGCTTGTTGTGAGATGTGAGTTTGTTGAGGAAATATGGCACTGCTGTGGTTGTGAATCACTGTCCCTGTCAGAGCAAATCTGCTTATTTTTAGCAGCTCAGCTTCCAGTGACCTCTAGGCAGCCGACACACAAACACAGACTCGCGTATATACTTACACAGAAACACACACTTCTCATGCAGTGTGTATTAAAGGGATGTGACATACAGTGTGCACACAAAAACACAAACATTCCCTTTCCTACAGTTTCAGACACCATCTGCCGAGTTTGACCTGGTCACACAGCTGGAAGTCTGAATGCTAATTTTGTGGATCACCTTACACCAAACACGAATACTGTACATACTCACATAACTGCTTGTGTAGATACAGGTCTGAATGGAAATTTAGTATTATTGTTTTGTTATTCGATAATTGTTCTGCTTTCATCGTTTGACTTTTTGGCAGATGTGTAATTTTTTGCCTTTGCTTGCAATAAATGTGTTTCTTATGAAAAAAAGAAAAATCAGATTTTATTTATATATTTTTTATATATACTTGCATTTAGTTATATATATGTATGCATGAAATAGCTTCATCATATTCTGCTTATTATCTCCTGTCACATTTGGTGCTAAGGTGGTTTTACAGCACTAGTAAATGAGCTATTTCTTTAAAGGGGTGGTCCACTACGAGATCATATTTGAAACTTGATGTGTAATGTAGCTGTGTGAACATAAACAACATCTCTGAATGTAAAATGCTCAAAGTTCAATGCATAGGGAGACCCTGGTTTTTACAGAGCTAGCTTAGCAAAGCCTAAAATGAATGAATATCGAAACTACAAAAAATACTTCGGCCCTTGTGAGATCACAAAGATACTTTTACCGCACGCACACACACACACACTGCGCAGCTAAGGGCCGTGGTCAGAGGCGCTGTAACGTTATAGCAGTGATAGGGGTAAATCAGGCTGATATGTATGCAAAGTCAAAAAAACTCTTTCATTGTCTTATAATACGCATTTATTCTTACCTAATTATCCCAACAACGGCTGTATGATTCGTTCAGCGATTAATTTTTTTTCCCAAACCCCCTCCTTTGTGTGAGGCTAATCTACGCTGATTGGTCCGATGACCTAGCCTGTGCTGATTGGTTTCCACAGAGCTTCGTCTGTTTCTGTATTTGGGCTTCCAAAGGACACGACACAAAGACAGAAGTGCTTACAGTTCAATATTAATTATGTTCCAGAGCACTATAAAATACATAGCAGGCATGATTTGACACAGCTTCCAGAATCTCTTCCAGTTCAGTGCTGGATTCGGTTAAATTCTCCTCAAAGCAGAAGCTGTGAGCAACAACCTGTAAGTGTTTTTATTTGTTAAAATTGATCGTGACATGTACAGTGTCTAGCGTTAACGGTATGCTGTAGCAACAATGTAAACAATGAATAATGGTGTTTTGCACCTCAAACGATTTAGCTACAAATTCATATTTATCAGTCGAACTGCTATAAACACCGACTTTGCATTGATTCTCTTTAGGCAGCTTTTCCATGCGTTTTACATCTCAGATAATGAAGTCGCAAAAGATATGTGGATGATTCATATTACTTACACCTGCATACTCCGGATACACGTGAAAGGCGTCGTGTAACGCGTTGAGTTAAAAAAAAAAATACTTGATAGCTCACCTAATTGTTGGAGCAGCAGAAAATTAAATCAAGGCTCACACAGATTGCATCCCAAATCGTGTGCTTTATTCTGCTGTCACGATATATTACAGAAAATAACTTAATCCAAGCATCAAAGAAAAAGAAAGTCCCGCGCACATGCGCTTGTTAGAGAAAGTTCACACATTCACACACACTCAAAGAAGATCTCTCTTAAAGGAGCCGCACCCCATTTCCATTCGTTACAGACACTTGTCAGATTTTATTTTAGAGAGCAGGCATGAGGTTGACTGATTGTTTACACAGCAGAAAAGCGCTTGCTTTTACAGGTGTGACGTGGAGACGATCCGCGAATCACAGTACATTTTGACGATGACTAATCAGAGTCACTTGAGGGCAGGCCTTCCAGAGGAACTGGGAAATATATCAGTCGTTTTCATGTTAGCTGAGTAGCTGTGTACAATCAAAGTGAAATATATATATAAAAAAAATAATGTGATTTCCTTCTAGTGAAACATGAGCATACATTGCTTTGCATCTTATAAACACAACCAAGCCTTAAAATTACATTCTGGACCACCCCTTTCAGTTCAGTATCGGTCATATCTTCTACCGTACATTACCTTGCATTAACATTATTCTCTTTTCATCCACACCCGCTGACTCTCTATCATTTCCATCTCTGTGTCTTTCCTCATGTACAGCAGTGGTGAAATGCTAATCCAGAGCCTGGTTAATTGCATTGTTCTCTTCATACGGCTGAATCACTGCTTTATTCCAGTCAGATCAAATAACACACTCATGAGCTTCTGCCTCAGACGGCTGCTGGCATCCAGCAAACAAACCAGTCTGAAGCTCTTAGTCATAATGAGGGAGGGTTGGGTGACCGTTCTGGATTACCAAGATCATATGAAATCCAATTTTCAAGTTGATTTTTATAATATAAGAACTAAATTCCTATTATAAAATGAAGGGAAGTTCATTATAGTTTTCTCTGTTGTGGGTATAATTTAAGTATATAGTAAATATTTAAAATGTACTTGACCAATGTTTTACTGGTTTTAAACATTACTCTACCCACACTGAATGCATTTACACAAAATAAGTAGAGCACTATCAAAAATCAGATTATTTCAGGGACTAGTTTTTATGTTTTTACATGCAAATCAGTAAACCTGCTACATTTTACATGAGATTCTATGTTTTGCCAGATTTCTCATCAGCAGCTGAGATCATAGGCCAAGCATGCGTATATGAATAAACTGCTAGACTGCTGAAACAGGTTTTTTTCATCCAACATGAAATTGGACTATTGAGCAAAAAAATTACCTGTTCGATCAGATTTTAAGCCTTTTCTGTTGTGATTTTTTTTTAAAGTAACATATTTCAATCTAAAGTCCAGCTAAAATTTCCCAAATAAATAACAAACTGCATTTCTTAAAAAGTAG